GACACATATCTGACGATATGTAGTGGTGGTAGATTCTCTTAAATCGCAATTGTGTGTTGAGCCCAAGAATTTCTTCAAAATTTTCAATTATAAGTGTGTTCGTCACTCCGCATTTGATTAGTATTCTGAGAGAGAGCTCCCAGAAACGGTTCTGGAGGGGTGTTACTCCTGCCAGAACCTCGAGACTCATGTTATGCGTTGAGTGCATACAGCCGAGAGCAATACGCAGACAACGATGTTGAATTCGTTCCAATTTTATTAGGTGACATTTTCTTGCCGAGAGAAAGCAGAAAGAGCCGTACTCTAGAACAGAGAGAATAGTTGTTTTATAAAGCGTTATGAGGTCTCCCGGGTGAGCAGCCCACCATGTGCCACAAATTGAACGGAGAAAGTTGATCCTCTGCTGACATTTTTGCTTCAAATACGTAATATGGGTATTCCAAGTGCACTTTGAATCAAACCAGACCCCAAGGTACTTGAAAGACGATGATTGAGTAATGTTTCTGCCCAAAAGATTAAGCTGCATTTGGGCTGGGTACCGCTTTCGAGTAAACACTACCAGTTATGTTTTCTGCGGTGAGAATTCGATCCCTAGATTCCTAGCCCAAGAAGACAAGTTATCTAAGGAACTTTGCAATGGTCCTTGCAAGTCCACGGCATGTGGACCTCTTATGGAAACCACACCGTCATCTGCAAGTGGTCTTAGCGTGCATTGTTCTGCCAAACAGTTGTCGATATCTTTGACATAAAAGTTTTAAAGAAGAGGGCTGAGATATGAGCCTTGGGGCAGGCCCATGTAGCTAATTCTGGAAGTTGTCAGTTGTCCAAGGGAAAAGTTCATTTGCTTTTCTGACAACAAATTGTATAAGAAATTATTTAAAATTCCAGAAAGTCCACATCTGTGCAGATTGTCTGACAGAATTTCAATGGAAACTGAATCAAAAGCCCCCTTAATGTCCAAGAATACTGAAGCCAATTGCTCCTTGTGCGCAAAGGCCAGTTGAATATCTGTGGAAAGCAGCGCTAGACAATCGTTTGTTCCTTTGCTCTTGTGGAACCCAAACTGTATATAGTTATTTGCTTCGACCCACTGATCGAGTCTCCGAAGGATCATTTTCTCCAACAATTTCCTAATGCACGAAAGCATGAGTTATGGTCAGACGCTGGTTTGCCAGGAATGGCTATTACTTAGACCTGTCTCCATTCAGGCATTCAGGTATAATGTTGTTTTCTAGTAAGGAACTGAATAAATCTAACAAGCGTCTTTATCTGCGAGATTTTTCAGAAGATTGAATTTAATCATATCGCTTCCCGGTGAGGAGTTGTTCGATGAAAGAAGAGCCATAGAGAATTCCAGCATTATGAATGGTCTATTTAGAGAGCTACAGCTCGGAGACGCTTCTCGAAGAATGTGTTGTGCTGGAACTGAGTCTGGACAGACCTTTTTAGCGAAATCGAATATCCATCGGTTGGAGTATTCTTCACTCTCATTAGAAGATGAGCGGTTACGCATGTTGCGAGCTACCCTCCACAAGGTATTCATTGAGGTTTCTCGTAGGAGTCCCTCGATTAAATTGCGCCAATAACCGCGTTTTTTGCTTTGATTAATTGTTTCAGCTTTGTCTCAAGCTTTGAATATTCCTCGAAGTATGTGGAGGTTTTGTGTCTACGAAAAGCTTTGAAAGCATCAGATTTTTCTACATACAATTTTGTGCATTCTTCGTCCCATCCAGCTTTTGTATATCAAATCGGTTAGGAATCGATATTCTTGGTGGAAGCGTATCTATTGATTCGGCACCGATTGTCACCGCCGTTGCATATTTCTGCCAATCTATGTTCCTTGTAAGATCAAATGGAACTCGAGATGGTTCTGCAGAGTGAGGGGCACACTTAATTGAAATGATGATTGGCAAATGATCGCTACCATGGGGATCATTGATAACCTTCCACATACAATCCAATGATAGCGATCTTGAACACAAAGATAGGTCGAGTCGGCTTTCTCGAGCCGGAGGTTTTGCTATACGTGTCGCTTCACCAGTGTTCAAAATAGTCAAGTTGAAATCGTCGCATAAATCGTAAGAAAATAGCCGCTCTATTGTCATCATATAGATCGCCCCACCCAGTACCATGGGAGTTCATATCACCCAGAATTAATACTGGGGATGGAAGAATCGAAACTAGATTCCAGAGTTGACTACGGTTAATGGAGGTTCTTGGTGGAACATAAACTGAAGCTATGCAAAAGTCTTTGTTCTTCACATTTATTTGGCAAGCGACGATTCCGACGCCTGATAGAGCAGGAAGGGAAATTTTGTAGAAAGGGTAGCACTTTTTGATCCCTAAAAGTACTCCTCCATAAGAATCGTCTCTATCCAGGCGCATAATGTTAAAATCGTGGAAGTTGAGTTCTTTATCGAAAGAAAGCCATGTTTCACAGGGAGCAAATACATCACAATCAGAATTGTGAAGTAAAAATTTGAACGAGTCTAGTTTAGGCACTAGACTACGGCAGTTCCACTGTAGCACAGTGATCATATCTTCAACCTCGTTCGACGAATTATCCATCGAAAGATATGATTGATGCAAGAAGGGGCCATGAAACAGTCAATTGCTTAAGATATGATTCTAACGTTGGAAGCAAGGCAGAAACTAAGCTTCTTAGAGGGTCTTGTATGTTGAACATGTTTAATATGAATTCCACAATGTCCGAAAAAGCTAGTAAACCTCGTTCGGACTTGGATTTCTTTTGAGAAGTTTGAGGAGCAGCTTTATTATTTTTCTTATCTTTTTTGGGTAATGGTGGGAAGTTCCCGCTGCTGCCAGAGATTCGATCAGCACGAGCCTTCGGTTTCAGTTTTTCGTCCCCATTACCCTGGGAATTTGTCAATTTTCTGGAGGTGACTTGAGTTTGTTTACGGCGCACTTTCGGGGAGGGGCATTTTCTTTTTGATAATCCGTCCATTTTTGAAGGTGCGTGTACCACCGTAGAATCATAGAGGTAACTCTAAGACCAGAAGGTCCCGAAGAAACGTGCTCAACTTTTTGGCTCAGCTCTGGTACTATCTTCGGTCCCAAGCTAATCGATTCACCCCTCGAAACATAGCGAATCAAAACAAACATAGTGTAGTACTAGAATTTTGACTAGAATGGGGTACGTAATCGATTTTCTTGGGACCAATAGGCTAGTCATGTAGTGAGCCAATTTAAAATCGTTAGTTTCGTATTGATTGTTGGTAGAATCACCTTCATCGGATGAGTCAGAGTCCGATTTTTCAGCTGACAAAATCGAAAATTGGTTTGCATCTTGGACGGCTGATGCAGCCTTCACCATTTGAGCATACGTCTGCTTGGAGCGTCCAGAGATTGAATGCCGTTTTTAGGTTGCCAGTTATGTTGTTTTCATACATGAATTTGGTATTAATAAGTTGTTTTCTCCTGCTCTGGTAGGTTTGGATAGAGTTTCCCGCGTCCGATGCTGCCAGCTGGAATAATTTTCTCGAGTCAGGAGTGGTGGTTTGAGCGAACTGAAACGAACATCAAAATAGAACAAAACCTTTCAAGCATGCATGTATTTATTGGTAGGAGCTGTCACTTAGAGCATCACACAACTAAAAACGAATTTTTCCTGATGGATAGAAATTCATTTAATTTTTTATTTGTTTTAATAAATGCACCACAAGTGATCTGTCACTAGGTGACAGCCCTATTTGATTAGCTTTCACATTTATATTTCAAATACCTTAACTTTTCCACTGGTTTGATTGCATTAACGCATGTCAAAAGCAGCCATCTTGATGGCGATTGTAAAACATATATTTATAAGAAATAAATTTAAAAAAAACTGACGGGGAGAGAGGCAGAAAATATTGAGCAAGCACTGTATTCACACAAAATAAATTTCACTTTGTTGGCCAAATTCTCCCAGGTTTAGAGGACATTCGGAAATTTTTAAATAGGGATATTGAAATAAATTAAATCTCGTGGAATTTCGTTACATTACGTTAACATTGAAAAATTAAACTCGAAAGGACGAAACGAAATAAGAAAAGCGAAAAGTCTTCAAAATAGTCAAGCCCTGGAGTTATTATGTTTCGAACCAATTTTCTGACACCCTGTAAGAAGTATGATTTTTTAACATGAAAATCACGTTATTAGGTGTTTTTCCTAGAATCTGCGTAGAACTAGTATATTTAGTATTAAGAACCATCACTGCAACACTCGATGGTGATTACTAGTATAAGTGATTTGAAACACTGAAATTTCAGGATACGTATATGAACAAAAGGAAAAAAAAAAACCGACTACCGATTGATCTTCCCCACGCAAATCAACCTCATGAATAGCTGCTAATTCTGCGTCATCCGGTCGATCTTTCTAACAATCCAGCCTCGACTGAAATCCTAATTACCCTGTAAGCATCCTCTCAATTTATCAGTCTAATAATTGCAGTATCATTTTCAGCCGGTGCCGATCGAAAGGAAGCAACACAACCCGATCTGTCTGCAATGAGCCCAATCTCACGCTTCGAAAGAAAGAAGAAATAAACGACAAAAGCTGGGGAAAAGACGAAGAAGGGTAAGCAGAACCGAACCATACCAGTTCCCGTGCGTCTGTGGGTCCCAAGACAACGGACGAAACCGAGTGATCGCATATACACCCTCGCAACAGCCCCGGGTGGTTGTGGATGCCTCTTGCGCGCACGAGTCCCAAGCCCAAACCGAGAAGGCTGTGATGGAATCGGTATGGGAAAGCAGCACCAACATCTCCCATCTTCTCCTGTGTATGGGAAGGGTCATAAAACGAAGCATAAGAGCATAAATGCACACTCATACATAGTAGGCCCAACAGGTTCCCGCTGCCAGGTAAAGGCGGAGGTGTTCTCTTTTGCTCGTTCTGCTTGCTCTCCCTTCGAGTGGACCCCGGTCTTTAGTTAATCCTCTCGTTCTCTCTCTCCCTCTCTTGATTTTCTTGCAAAGCAGCTGAGAAAAAAGGCACAAAATACAAGTTTTCAGCTGTATCTTTTCCGCGCTGAATTGGCTGACTTGCTGACTTCGGAGAGTCCAACGACGGAGCAGGAGAGAGCAAGTGAATCGACGACGAACCAGCTTGCTTTGTTGCCGTGTGTTGGTTCCCGGCGATCCAAGCCCAGCTCGAACTGGAACTGAACACTGGCAGCAGGCCGCGCGCGAGTAAAAACCATCCAAGTGTCTATATCATAGAAGAGAAAAAGTCCGTGTATCAGTATGCAGCGCAATACGGTAGACAGCAGAACTACACGAACGACGACGACGACGACGACGGTGACGCGGAGTTGAGACCAGCAGTCACGGTCTCCGGTGCCAGAAAGTCACAAGTGTCTTGTTAAAAGGGTGCGCGCGCGAATTACCCAGTTTCCGGTTCCTCCCGGCAATCCAATTAGAATCCTGAACAATTGATCATTATCCTTCGGGTGAAGGTGTAGGTGCTTGCGGGTGTTAGTGTGTGTGCGCTAGTGTGTGCCGATTAGGTGCAGTGATTCTGGAAACATTCCAAAAGTGCCACAGGCGTGAGACATCTATTTGGCTAGGGCTGTTCTGGACGAAAGCTTATCAGTAGACGATAAGATTGTCAACAATTGTCGGAACCGTTTGTTGTTGCCGCTGTGTCTTACATGTGTGAAGAGGGGCATGCGCGTGGTAAATGTAAACAATTAGCAGTTACACGAGAGAACAAATAGACCTTGAAAGTGCGTCGGAAATCCTGGCGCTTCGGAGCACGAATCTTGCCCGAAGATTGACGAACCTTCCGAGTGAGAGTGTTAATAGGATTGTGTTACTCGACGGCGCTTGCGATGAGATCATAACTTGGTTCGAGAGCAGCCAAGTGATTAATTTCCATCAATTTCTGGTAGTTAATCCAAGCTTGATAAATACTCAAGCGTGCCGAGTTTGTGGTTGTTGATAAATGTTATTGGAAACCGTCGGCCAAGCGAACGTGATGGAGCAATCGAATGAGTCAGCCTCTGCTGCCGGGGCCACAGCGACCAGTAATGTGGCACGAAGTTCACAACCGGGTGATTTTGCAGCTGCCGCCGCGGTCGTGCTTTCGCTGCAGAACAACATGTTAACCAGTTTGCAACAGGCGGCCCTTATGCCAGCCAATTCTCCCGTTGCAGCTGCTTTCAACCTTCAGGCACTCGAGTCATATCTCACGTTGCAAAGAATCACCGGAAAGTCGGATGTGCTTCGACTAACTAACCGTACCCCGTTACCTTCGATGCCTCTGACCTCTTCGGCATCCACATGCACCTCCTCTTCCGTTACCAATGTAACAACCGCCTCGGACGATATGCTTATGGATACTCAACCTGCAACGGTGCACCAGTTGCTCCAGAACAATGAACTTTCTGATGAGCTTCCGGTTTTGGACCAGGATGAAGATCTCAATTTCGACGATCCAATGCATGATTCAACCTCCGACGGCAATTCCCTAGACAGTGGCTACCCCAGTTTAGTTCTAAATGCTGCCTTCCATCAGCAAATGAGTGCCGACAAGTTTAAAACTCTGGCGGCGGCATCATCATCTTCCAGTTCTGCCGCCGCCGTCGCAGCTGCAGCCGCCGCAGTAAGCTTTGTGACGAACGCTGCAGCTGCTGCATCGAAAAAATGTACACCTACGCCATCTGCGACCGTGACCACCCAAGCCCAGGGACATCAGTCCTCGGCCGTTGCCATCACCACGGCTGCCGCCAGTCAAAGACCCAAAAAGCAATTCATTTGCCAATTTTGCCAACGTCAATTTACGAAATCGTACAACCTGCTAATTCACGAACGGACCCACACGGACGAACGGCCATACTCGTGTGACATTTGCGGAAAAGCCTTCCGTCGGCAGGACCATCTACGTGATCATAGGTAAGCTGAGCCTGCCCAAACCGAAAAATTTCTTACTTTTTCAGGGCAACCCAGAAACCCGTAAAATCTATCTGACTGAAATATTTTCTCTTTACTCTCTCTTTTCACGCCGTCCTCCTTCCACTTCCTTCATCCTCTCCCCGCACCGAACACACCAAATTCCCATATCACACACTTTCTCTCTCTCTTACACACCTAGGTCTGCGTGAACCGAAACCGAAATGCATTCGTACTCAGAGACACACCTTTTATTTACGCACTTTATCACTTGTGACTTTTACGATCACTATTATTAATGCGCTTCACAACGGCGACGCACAAGAACCCGCGGGGAGATCGAGTTTTTAAATAGTTAGCTCTTTTTATAACGCTTTTAGAGTTGAAAGATGACCGATTTCAAGCATTAACTGGCAAACCGTAGATAAGTAAGAAGACGAAGGGAAGGGAAGTCCCTTGCTAACCGTACTGTTTAAGGATCGAAATTATGATTGTGATTTATTTTTTGTTAATTTGCCCTCTCATTCGTACTAATAAAGATTTTATTTTCTTGCAACGCGAAAAGCCTAGACTTTTAATCTGTCACCCGGCCCGCGGGATTTGAAAAATTATCGCTAGCCGCGCGGAAATTTATGACATTTTTGAACACCACTTTCCGCGTTCGGGAGTAGGTGTGACTAAAAGCGTTGCGTTAAAACAAAGCCGGGCCCCGTCGGACTTGCGCGGATTATGTAAATTTCGGAAGATAGACACGACCGACGCAGGAAAAAAAAGAAGATTTTCGGGCACTCGCGGACGGAATTTATGTTCCTCGCGATAAGCCGGGTGAGCTCGCGCAGCACCCGGTCGAGGACCCCGCGGGTACAAACAAATTGGAAGATTGCTGTCCGAGAGTTGAACAGCGCGCTGCTTTCTTCTCCAATACTCGGTTGCTGTTGTTGTTGTTGTTGTTGTTGTTTCTCGTTTGCTAATGATTCACCGTGATTAATCGCTGGATATGGGCTCGGCGTGGAACGATAAATAAAAGCTGGACTACGCGTGTGCGGAACCACGAACGGCGATGGCGCGGGTTGTTCCTTTGATAGATAAGCGCGCGAGGGTGATTCGGATTTTGACGCTTTTTTTTTTTGCGGCGCGGCCGGAATTATTGTTTTTTTTTCGTCGGGCGTCATAAAAGCGTGAATTACTGTCAATGCTTGGTGTTTGGTGTGTGATTTTCCACCGTTCCATTCCGGTGCGGTGGTTGTCAGTGTTGAAAGTTCAGTTTAGTGTGATTGTTGTCACGCGTTGTTCATGCGCTGCCTAGAGTCTGATATGATTGATAAGTTAAGGTAGGTAGACAATTGTGATATTAATTCGCTTTTGCTAATCTACTTGGCTTAACTTTTTGCAATTTACGCTTCTGTCTTCTTTTTTTATGATCTCTTTTCTTGTGTTTACAGAAAGTAATAAACGGAGAAATCACACTAACTGAACTAAACACAAACACATCATCCATCACATTTGACACCATGGTTCGAGCAGACTACTCCTTAACACCCATAATTCATTGATGCTAATTAGCTGTGATGTCCATTTCATTCCATCCTTACCATATCCCGCAATTAAATCCTTTTCATAAACTCACTACCGCTAAGAGGATAAAAAGTTTCTCTATGGCAGCCACCCACCAAAGTTCATTGATCTGTTGTATAGACTTCTCTGGCATTTTACATATGACGTCACTATGTATGAATAAAAAACCCCATTATTGTAGATTTCTTGCAGTCATCACGCCGAAATACGTTATGGTATCCAAAGAGCTCACCCCATTATTACACTCATACCTATCCATTTCCTTAAGTCCAGAGCACCCCTGATGTCGATCAATGGGCATTTTTTGGCAACCTTTGTTTTTGTTTACTCCTCGGATGACTTCACCTGGCTTGTGAAAGTTTCCTCTGATCCTGATTTTCCTGATTTGTGCAAACTCTACTATCATAGAGGTAACTCTAAGACCACTGGGTCCCGAAGAAAATCATTATTATTTTTGGCTCACTCAGTACCAGAACAACGGTTCCAAGCAGTCCCAAGCTATTTCACTCACCCCTGCATGTTCTGCATGAATCCACACACCCCTGATGTTATCTGTCAAACTTTCATAGCGAATCAAAACAAACATAGTGTAGTAATAGAATTTCAACTAGAATAGGGTACGTTAATCGTTTGTTTGGGACCAATAGGCTACTAAAGTGGTGAGCCAATTTAAAATCGGTAGTTTCGTATTGATTGTTGCTACTATGCTCGATAGGTAGACGGTTTGACAGTTAGGTAGATTTTGATTTCAGTCTGCGTAACTCTTCTAAAGTCTGTTCCATTTAGAATTTGGCCGCAGGTCATTTTTCCAAGGGGAAATAAAATACAAAAACGCTAAAAGTATCATTTTGTAGGATTTTTATTAAGCTTTAAGGGAAAAATACAAAAAATATTCGTCAGATTTTCGGATGAATTTTCGAACTTTTCGCGGAATAGACGAGATGAACTTTTGTTCATGTACTGAAAAAAAAATTGACACAACAGCGGGGCCCTGTTTACTAAAAATGAACACATGAATAATGTTCGCGTAACATTTCAAAAGGGCCTATCAACTTTTGTAAATAATTTATTAGGTCCTTTTCACGAGAAACGAAGTACGCCCACGCAAACCAAGACCACTATCGGGAAAGGGAGAATTTCCCCTACCCGATGGTGTTGTTAGTTTGCGTAGGCGTATTCGGTTCGCGCGAAAAAGGCTTAACAAATTTTGTGTACAAAAGTTGATTGGCCCGTTTCAAGTGTTACGTGAGAATTATTCATGTGTTCATTTTTAGTAAACAGGGCCCCGCTGTGGTGTCACTTTTTGTCGAGTGAGTGAACTCAAATCCATCCGTGCACTCGTCTATACCTCTCATCATGTCTTGCACAGTAGTACCATAGAGGTAACTCTAAGACTAGTAGGTCCAGAAGAAATGTGCTGAACTTTTTGGCTCAGCTCTGGTACTATCTTCGGTCCCAAGTTAATCGATGCACCCCTCGAAACATAGGAAAATCCACGAACCCCTCATTTTATCTCTCAAACTTTCATATCAAATCAAAACAAACATTGTGTAGTACTAGAATTTCGATTTGCTTGGGACCAATAGGCTAGTGAAGTAGTGAGCCAATTTAAAATCATTTGTTTCCACCGTTTGGTAGTACTATCAACCTCATCTACCATCCTTTTCCACCACTTCTACAAATCAGATGCTGTTTTGATTGTTTTGCCAATTTGCGCTTGATAATTGCCCAAAAAATTTCAATGGGACGAAAATGTGGACAATTTGGTGGATTGACACTTTTCTCAATAAAATTTACATTATTCTGTCTATACCATTCTGGCTGAGTCAGGCCAGAGCTTTACGGGACCTTCGTGTGATTGAATTATGTTCTGGAGACACTCCTCTTTGTAAAGTTGTCCATTCATAGTCGCTCCAGTGATGAAAACCTTTGTTTTCTTTCCGCAACTGATGCCTTGTCAAATCATCAACTTGTGAGCGATTTTATCTGCAAAGACAAATTTTAATTTATCCGGAGCATTTCCCTTACGTTTAGCAAAGTGAAATTTTTGGCCCGGGATTTGTCCAAAGTCCATTTTTACGTAAGTTTCATCGTCCATCACAATGTGAGTGTGCAGAATTTTTTCACTTTTGTCCCGTTCCATCTTCGATAACTTTTAAACAAGTATATGAATCCTAATGGAATTTTCACTACTAAATGAACAATCCTTCCGGATCGAAACGCTGTCAATAGTTTCTTGCTACGGCCAAATACTAACTGGAACAGACTTTATAGACTTCTCTGACTTTTGTGAATTTCTCAAGTATTAGTGCAGAACTTTGGGAAAATTCAAAGATTGTCTTGCACTAATACAAAGTTCTGCACTAATACTTGTGCATTTCACAAATGTCAGAGAAGTCTATTATCAACTCTGCGTAGCTCTACTATTATCAACTTATCGAGTAAACAATTACTTCAGCAATTGGATGCTGCTCGCTGACGTCACAAATGACCGCGATGAACTCGCATTCATCACTTTGACATCCAGTTCTGGTTTGTTTAACTTTGCCTGTTAGTCGATTCAAGTGGAGTCGAGGTTTGAAATAAAAAGTTCCGAAGGATATGTTATCCGACTATGTTATTTAAAAAATATTATTCTCTTAAAAAATCTATTTATAAATAGAATCCATTTTCTATAGTCCATGTATACAAACCACCGCCCGGTGTCAAAAAAGTGAGGTCAACCCAAGGGGTAGAACACTCCACACAGTGTGCCAAAACACTACTTGGGCATACCTGGGCACACTCATTGGCACTGTTTGGCACTGTTTGGCACCCATGGTTTGAAATATGCATGAACTTAAAAGTTACTGGCAACACTGTGTTGTGACCGTGAATTTCCAACAACGCCCGCCAAGGATCAGCACACATTCCAAGAAACATTTATCGTTTTATGAAGTACTACAAGGCTTCTATAAAACAACATTAATAAAACCCTGGTCAAGATAGCTTTGCCTTGATTACATCCACCAAAATCTCATTAAGACTAGAATCTGTCTAGTTGGAAATCATTTTTAAAAGTACTGCGTCTATTCAGATAATCCTGCATTTCTCCATAAGTTTATGAAATATTTCTTGAATATTATGAAACATTCCTTAAAATCTCTAAAGCTCCCTGAACTTTTCTGCACAAGACATAAGTTTTCGTTCTTCCATGTTCCCTAAATTTTCAAGAAGGAAATTTTCTAACGTTTCATAAGTTAATCTGATATTCATGGAAATTCCCTAAAGACCCCGTAATATTCCAGACATTTTTGAAACAATCCTGAAATTCTATCAATTTTCCATAATTCATCGGAACTTCTTGAAAGCTCCCGTAGTTAATAAATTGTCCTGCTATAAAGATGTGTGGAAATCAAATGAATGTGCCTGAAAATATCAAAAAATCT